CAGGCCGACCTGGAGGAACCCGGCAGCGGCAGCTTCAGTAGCCTGGCCCAGGAGGTCAGGGCACAGGTGAGGCGGCCGCCCCAGAGCATCATGGGAAATCTTTCCTGTCTCATGGTCCTCTGTCTTCCAGCTCCAGCAGATCTACAGCCAGAACTCGGTGCTGGCCAAGTTCTACAAAGACTCCACGGTGCAGGCCTTCAGGTCAGTCCCCGACACGTCCCACTCAGCGACACGTCATGTTCCTGAAGGTTCTGTTCATGGTGGAGGGACACGCTCCTTTAAACATCCCTGCTGACCGTGTCCCTCCATGTCTCCAGTGAAGGGGACGGCCAGCCGGATGGCATGGTGGCATATTATGAGTCCGAGTTTGAGCTCCCGGTCGTCCAGCTGTCCTCCCTGGACGAAGCCATGGCGTCTCTGGAGGTGACAAGAAGTCAGCGTGGACGGCTGCTGAGACCCGACGCGGCGTTGAGGGTCAGCAATGTCTCATCTGGAGGTCAGAACCGGTCTGGTTAGCCTGAAATGTTCTGATCTGGTCTGAACTCGTTCAGAACCTGACTCTGGGTTCTGAATGTCCAACATCCAATATCAGAACTTCAAAAGTTTCTCACGTTTCAGAAATTCAGAGAGTGACAAAAACCCATGGGTCCTGTTTGGCCCGGTTCTGTTCTGAACCGGGCCAAACAGGACCAGGCCGTTACAGCCGGGCCGTCAGAGCCGTTGGCTGACGAGCTGCTGGTTGACGGCGTTGAAGTTATTGGATTTTTGATAGAAGGATTTCTGCTGTTCAGCTGGCAGATCAGGAAACATGGGACTGAGAATGCTCAGACTAGCATGCTGCGCTAATAGACTAGCAGACTAGTATGCTATGCTAACAGATTAGCATGCTACACTAGCAGGGCTGCAAACTGGAAGTGATTGTTGCAGAGAGTGGCAGGCTAACTGACCTGACGCTGGCTGTGGGATGAATCCACCTTGGAGAAGTTGCTGGTTGACCAACACCTGTTAGCTCTGAAGGAGGAGCAGCTCATCCTGCTCTCTCTCTCCTTACTGATAACTTTGCCTGTGAATTATTTTTAAAGTCACCGTTTATAGTTATATTTAAATGATCAACATCATAACTGGATTACTTCAAACCTAAGGACTGGGGGATTTTCTTACTTTTATTTTTACCTTACCTCCAA